ACATAACATGTAAAGGATTGAAAAATAAACAGGCAGTTGTTTAGTCCAGGTAATATGTATTTAAGAGACATGGCCTCGTCTTCGATGCAACGGGATTAGAAGAACAATTTGAAAAATTTAATAAACTTGATATGAATTTAATTAGCATGCTTGATCAGATTAAAGCAGTGCTTCGAATTTTCTTACTTTTTCCGTTTCTTCTACTCTCTGTCGATCGTCAGGATTACTGAGGCTTCCTTTTAAGATGGTAGCAACCATTGTTAAACCTCGTCCCGCTTTTAGTTGACTGGCAAACTGAAGAAGTTTCTGATTTGTAATTTCATAGTATTTTCTGCTCTTGAGGAGAACCAGTACTTGAGGCCTGTTTATTAACTATTAATAAAATTTTGGTAAATGAAATACTGAACAACAAAGATATTCCCTTTATAAACAACAGTACTTGCAACTAATTAGTTAAAAAATAATGTGAAGCAAAACAGTTAAATGCTATTGAACATTGAGCAGGATACTTCGCTTCATTGCTGTTCACACATTAAGACACATAGTTAATTAAAAATAATTGATACAAAACAGTAATGTCTTCGAATAATTGCTTACGTGTCGCGACAAGTTCAGGAGCACCACAGTATAAGATACAGTCGCTTGTTAATTACCTTTTTTGATATGGACTGAATGAAATTATCACGGTTTGGAAGTCGATTCTTGATATTGAAAAATGACTTAGAAAATAATTCGAAACTTTCTGTAAGAAAATTGGAATCGCTGGGATGTTAGTTGCTGTTCCACTTAGCGATTGAGCGCCATCTATTGTTTCATAAGAGTATGATGCGGCTGAGGCTTCAGACATGATGAGCCATATCAGAAGCTACGTCCAAATATTTCTCTGCTTCTTGATCCGCTACCGCTCGTTTTCTGGCTCTCTTGTGCTAAGAAACTTTGACTGCAATATCAGTGATTACTATGATTATTGATTCATAGATCGTAAGTCATAGTGTGCCATTTGGCGCGACCCTGAGCATGAAAACCTGAGCGCTTTCTCATGAAAGGCACACTGTCGTTAGAAACGGAAGCTAGCTGCGGAAAAGTACAGGTAGCGCGGATAGGCAAGAATGAGTGAGTCATGGCTGAGTTCGAGATCGACACGTTCGTTTTTGAGAAAACGTCACAATGCCTAATGAAGGTCTCATCGAAAAACGAAAGCGATCTGCCCATTGAAAAAATGTCACTGTCAAAGAACCACTAATGTCGCTTTTGTCTTGTGGTTAGACGTCGGTTCGTTAGACTCGAAAAGATAACCTCCATAAAAATCAGACTGAACTGGGACCCGTTTGTAGAAAATTCCCCAGGCCTCCGACAACCTTGCCAGCCGGTGGCAAAATTTCATGCAGTAAGAAAACACAACTGCTGCTACCGGGGTGATTCGTCGCCGAATATCGGCCGGTTCAGGTGATCCAGGTCACATGTCAATCAGTCGATCTCGTAGGATCGGATTTCATTTGAAGATGCGACAAATTTGGGGTACGGGATCGATTGCCTGACTTGAAATCTACGACGTATTGGTCAGACATTACTGCCATTGCACGTCAGCGTTGCTGAGCACGAAAGAACCAAGAAGCGAATGGTTGCGGACCAAGAAGCATTGCGAAAGTTGGAAATAGCTTATAGACTGGCCCATCATTCCATTAACTTTCTGAGAACACGACCCATTAACATAGTGCAAAACATCTTCGGAAGGGTCTTATTTGAAGCATTTCCGAGTGAGACAACGAAAATGTTATAAATCGAGACAAAAGGCTAGAAATGTAAAAATTATGGATTAGCATGCAGAAGAAGCTTACAAGGTCAAAGCCATTTGGAAGCAAGTGTACAGACACAAAGGACCATTCCGTTGGTATCTGGCGAAAGTGACTAGTGCCAGAATGTAAATGGTGAAGACCAAACTTGCTGGCAGTAATTATTATTGACACGTCATAAGACTGTTGACGTTTACTCATAAAAAATATACGAATTGATGAGTTCCTTCAGCTGGTACATTAGGGTTGGAAGCTGCAACTGAATCTGATTCTATCAAATGAGAAATTTTTCAAATGTAAATATATCAAGTAAAAATTTTCAACTGTAGATCAGGTCTCTCAAGACGTGGAGCTTTTTTGAATTGGTACAACATTTCGCAACCCTAAACAAAAGTTCAGACTGCAACTCATTTCAGTGAAAACAGAGAACGGCGTCATCAATCAAGATAACCGAAATATGCACCATTGATGATGATTTGACTGCTCGTGAGAAAGTGTAGTTTAACAGTACCAATTGTGAGTAGTTCATTCATGCCATGCAACTGTTTGATGAATGTGACAGCATCATTTTGCAAAATTTATGATCAGACATATAATGAAGAATTCTCAGAAGAAAACACTGTTTTCGATTGCAGCGCTATGGGCAGAGAAATTGATGAACAAGTGAAGAATCTTCTCGCACCAAGTGAAATCTTATGAACTGATGAAGTTAATTATAGCATGCATCAATCATTGGTCTCTGCAATGACAGTAACGATAGTAAAGATGATCAGAGTAAAGTAACTATGATGCCAAACATCGCCGTTTTTTTCGACTCAATGGTTAGGGACACCATGAAGTAAACAATTTTTTAAAAACTTACTTCAGCGAAAAAAATATTGGTACACAACACTGTAGTAATATTTTTCTGTAAGTAAATTTAAAATTTAATTTACTTTCTCACGTCGCTACTCACGGACTCAAAAATCACGCCGATGTCCAGTCGTCGGCGCATGTAATAGGCTTAACAATCATGTACTGACGTTAAATGACGTAATATAAATTTATAACTTGAACGATAAAATCAATTTCATGTACCTCCAATTTTTAGGATGTATCTGAGTATGTTCGATGCGTAGCAAACTGTACTGTGCCGTGGCCAGTGCTAAGCCACGAATACCGTCTCCCCACTCTTTCTTGGCTCTAAAATGTGAGACGGTCGACATTTAAGCCCTGACAACGGTTCAGCTCATACCCTTTGTATTCGATGTACTTGTACAGGAACGCGCACAAAACAGACACCACAAGACCGTAGTACCAGTGGGTGGCGAACATAATAAAAATGCACAGCAGGGCTCCAACGATCGACAGCACCCAGTGGTAAAAACGGAACCGTGGTCGCCAATTTGGAGCGTTCAACAGCGTTTGCAAAGCGCACGCCAGGTTGACGAAGCAGTAGGACATAAGAAAGAAGAAATCGACCACAGGCGCCACGTAGTCGATGCCGCCGATGAGAATCGCACCTTCAGCTATGAGGGTCGTAACCACAAGGGCCCTAAAAGGCTCGTTTCTCTTTGTCACCACGCTGAACGGGTTCAGGAATGGCAGCAAATTGTCCTTCGCTATGCTCTGCAGTAGACGAGGTGCTGCTAAAGCATAGGGCACGTTGTTTGAAGATCACAAAGTAGGACCAACGAAGCACTCACTGCACAAACACTGTAGTCCGGCGCCGAAGCACGACGTGAAGGATCCAATTAGTAGTATCCACTCCGTAGGCCACGAAATTTTTCCCGCCACCATCGTTCCTCCCAAACTGCTACCGTACCTGAAAACAGCACAGCAGTGTTACAGAAATTAAGCGACATGAACCAGAGTCTAGTAGAGCCCCAGCCCCTGTGCAAGGCAGACAAGTTGCTTTAGCATTGTTATCTGGTTTTCTT